AGCTGCTGCTGGGATGGTGACCTACATCCAGGAACTTCATGAAGGCTGGCCTGGCTTCCTTGGCTATCCTCACAGCGTCCTTGGCATTGAGGAAGTTGTCGATGTAGGCCGAATAAATGGTCACCAGGATATCCTTGGAAAACTGTGGGGAGCAAAACAGAGAGAGAGGGCCATGAGGGTGTGCAGGGGCTGGCTGGGAAAGACAAAATGAACCTAAAGCAAAATAACAGTAAAGTATTGCCCAGGGGACATTACAGTGCTGCCAGTGGCTTTTCCTGCTGTAGCACCATCCTCCTTGCTGAGAGCATCCATTCTTTATATAACTCGTGGAGTGCAGACGCCTGGTCGGGAAGGAGGGCAGCTTTCCTGCCGGCCTTCCAGCTGCAAGGCTGGAAACACCGCTGGGAGGGCCCTTTCTTGGCCCTCCTGCTCCCAATCCATTTAGGACGTGCTGGCATGGACAAGACGCCACTGCACAGAGTTAACAGGGGATGTCCTGGGGCGGCTTTTACAATAAAAGCCATGTGCTGATGAGATGGTGGCGGGGGGAAGCCACCAGGCCCCAGACAGGTCTGTGTCCAGACTTCAGTGGCGGAGGGGCAGGCGGTCTGCTCCCACCCAGCCCTTCCAATCCTCTCTCCTTCCAGGCTTAGCACAAGGCAAAAGGAGCGTAGAGAAGAGAAGGAGACCCACTGGGCCAGTGGTTCCTCTCCCTCCTTTATTTGGCTAGGCTGCACCTCTAGGCTTTTCCCAGCCTTTACCTTTCTGTCTGTCTGCAGGCTGCGAGGACCAAGAAAAGAGCATGTATGGGGCAGACCTAAAGCACTTCCTCTGAGGGCTGGTAAGGAGGGAAGGTAGAGGATAGCCTTCCTCAGGGCATGTTGTTTAGTCCCAGCTCCCACCTTACCTTCTAGCCCAACCGCCCCAATTACCAGTCCCCCCAGCTTGCTCCTCGGGGGCAGCCCACCTGTGAAAGCACTCCTGAGCGTCAGGCTGAAAGCCAAGCTCCCTCTAATCCTTGCCTCCCCTGCAGTGCGTTCAGACCCCACCCAGGTTAAAGGACTAAACCCAGGAGGTCTGCCAGCACTTGACTTCTAGCCCAGCTTCTGTCTCTACTGCCCGTTGTCCGTGAGCAGACCCCTTCGAGGAATCAGTCTGCCCACTGCTTGTCTCTCCATCCGTGCTTCGTGTACAACTGCAGCAAGGTAGTGTGCGGATGCAGCAGGGAGACTCAGGTGGCCAAGGAGATGCTCAGGAAGGATCCTAAGTAGTAGCACAGCGTGCAGGAGCGTGAGTCAACAGACTGGACAAATCTGGGCAGGGTGTGGGCTGGTACAATCACCTCACCTGACCTCCAGCTTTACCTTCGTATTGACCCAGGAGCCAGCCGCTACTTCCACTTGGGCTGGTTGCCCATGCAGCAGGACTGCCAAGCTGGGAGCGGA